AGGTTTTAAGCAGTCAGTGGAGCACCTGAACGAGTAAGATGTGAAGGCAGAGGAAATCACTGCAGAGAGAAAGAACCCAGGTGCCCCTGAGTTTGTAGAAGAAAGTACACTCTGGTTCTAGCACATCAATGTTGTAGCTTCAATGGGCTAATTTGATATAGATGAAAAATTGTGTTCTTAGGTCAACAATTATACCCTTAACCACAGCTAGCAGCTTCATACTAAGTAAATGCTCACTGATGACACAAAAGGTGTAACGGGCAATATAGGATGGTGAAGTTTGGTGCCAACCCATCCCTACTATTGAAAAAGTAACTCAACATGTAATGTGATTGATCAGGAATGCCGTTCACACATTACTCTGGCCTTGACATATTTCAACTACTCTGATTGCTCTTGGGCACTGGGCAAGAACATGAGGAAGACAACAATCCATCCCATCTACATCCATGGTTCAATGGCCTTAACATCACAAAACAAAGGCACATTTGTTAGGTTCCTTTTAATTGCAAGACCCATAATAAATACATGAACAACATAATCTGCGACATAATGGAGTCCATCCTATATAATAAAAGGGTAATATGCAAACTGATCCTAACAGCAGAAGGACTGGGAATGACTGGTCACTATGACACACACTGACCACCAGGGGGCAGAAGCTCAATGCAGGAGCTGCCCCCTGGTGGTCAGTGCCCTCCCACAGGGGGAGCTCTTTTCAGCCACAAGCCAGGCTGACGGCTGCCAGTACAGCGGTGGTGGTGGGAGCCTCTCCTGCCTCCTCAGCAGCGCTAAGGATGTCCGACTGCAGCTTAGGCCTGCTTCCTGCTGGCAAGTGGACATCTCCCGAGGGCTCCTGGGCTGCCAGAGGGATGTCTGACTGCCAGCTTAGGCCTGATCCCCCAGGGAGCGGGCCTAAGCTAGCAGGTAGACATTCCCCGAGGGATCCCAGACTGCGAGAGGGCACAGGCCGGGCTGAGGGATCCCCCCGAGTACACAAATTTTTGTGCACTGGGCCTCTAGTGTGTAAATAAGACACAAACTAAACCATTGCAAGTCCCAAACAATTTCAAACTCAAATGGACTTTCTACTTTTCACTTGACAGAAGAACTAGCCATAGGACCAAAATTAGAAAACTCATATACTCTGAAGAGCTCTTATACTAAAGTTCCTTTTATAGAAAAAGTCAAACATACACAAAAATAGACAGAATAGTACAAATCCCATGGCAAGCTCATTACCACCACTCAGTTTCATCAATTATCAACTCATGACCAATTCTGCTTTATCCATACCCCTAGATATCAAGTCATTTCATCTTTAAACATTTCAGCAAATCTTTACAATTTGACTGAACATTGATAAAACTTGTGAGGTTTTATGTTCATTGCCTTTTATTTTAAATACCTATATCAGCGTAAGAGAGGAAACTGGTGTTTACTGAAAGTAAGGAGGAGAAAATTTACATCTCTCTCTCTCTCTCTCTCTCTCTCTCTCTCTCTCTCTCTCTCTCTCTGTGTGTGTGTGTGTGTGTATGTGTGTGTGGTGGTTTTGTATTTTTTTTTCTGGAATATCTGGGACCTAAATGTAGATGAAAGTTTTTTTTCCTCCTACTGAAGGAAGAGACAGAGCTGACAAGATACATTCAGTTTAATGAACACTCACTGAGCAATAGGGATGGGGCTAGATCAGCCGTGGGCAAACTACGGCCCGTGGGCCGGATCCAGCCCGTTTGAAATGAATAAAACTAAAAAAAAAAAAAGACTGTACCCTTTTATGTAATGATGTTTACTTTGAATTTATATTAGTTCACACAAACACTCCATCCATGCTTTTGTTCTGGCCCTCCGGTCCAGTTTAAGAACCCACTGTGGCCCTTGAGTCAAAAAGTTTGCCCACCCCTGGGCTAGATGCTGGAGATATAAAAAATGAGTAAAACAAAGAGCCTTTCTCTAGAATGGGTGAGACAGACACATAAGAACAAGAAACAAATGTCAAATCAATCCATGAGGCAAAGAGGTAGAGTTATAAATAGAAACATGTTCTAAAAATGGCATGTTTATCAACAGACCAATGAATAGCCTCTGAATATGTACCAGGGGATTGAGGAGAACATAAATTATAATAAATGACCATATCATATAAAGCAATAAAGGTAGCCAGCAGTAAAAAGGCATTTGAAATAACTTTGTTCCTACTGAACAGTGGAAAAATATTACTCCCCAGGTAGTTAGTTGCTTTTTCTTCCAAGCTCTGACAGCAAGTTATATGTAACTGCCCCCAGAGTTTAGTATATTATACTAGAGGCCCAGTGCACAAAATTTGTGCTTGGGTAGGGTCCCTAGTGGCTGCCGGCTGCTGGCTGGGGCCTTCCTTTGTTCCGCACCGCCCCCTGGTGGTCAGCGCACATCATAGCAAGCAATCCAACTCCCGGTCGAACTCCCGAGGGGACACTTTGCATATTAGGCTTTTATATAGAGAGATTATGATATTATATTCATTACAATTATTTGTTCATGTAATGGTCTTCCCTCCAGACTATGAGTCCTTGAGGATAGGGTCTGAATTTATTCATCCTGGGATTTAAAACCAATTCCTGCATCTACTAGAACGAAGGCTTATTGAATGAATAAGTGAATGAATTATTTACAGGTGACTTCTAATAAAATATCCAGCACTATAACTGTAGAAAAGTTAAAATATCAATTAAGTCATAAGGGTTCTTGTTATCTTAAGAATAGATTCTAGTCCCCCTTGCCGGGCATTTAAGGCCTTTCCATCTACATTGTCCCTAATCTATCCTTTTGACCTTATCTCATTATTCCCTTCTCTGAGGTCCTGTGTATGAGTAACTTTCTCTCCCTTTCATAAGCTCTGTGCTTTTCTATCTCTATGCTTTTACTCAGGAACCTCTGGAGTTTTAAATTACGCACCCTTTTCAGCATAAAATGTTTGAGCATACTTAACACTGTGCAAATATAGTACGCTCATTACAAGGCAACCATAAAATAGAAGAAAACAAGCATTTTAGGCAAATGAGGAAACACATATAGACATTTAAATCTTTTCTTTCCATGTACAGCACATTATTTCACATATGCTTCACTTTGGAAATTACTGACTTACATATAAAGAAGAAATCTCAGAGAATCTTTGTGAAAATTAACGGAAACAAAATATGTAAAGCACTTAAGAGCACTGGTCATATTGGAAACACTGTAAAAGTCAGTTAATTTCATTAACATCATTAGCATCACGCAGTTTCTTTCTACCGGAATAGTGTCCCCAAACTTATCCTCTAGCCTCACTCGTGTAGTCAAACCCCTGAAAGGCCACATTCAAATGTTATCTCTCTAAAGAATTATTTGAATGCATTCTTTACGGCGTTAGGATTTCTCAGTGTAGGGAGTACCAAATCCTATAAAGCTTAGCAAGAAGTCATGACTAAGAAACCAAAATAAAGCTGGAACCGTTGGAAAAAAATAAGAACAATTTATAAAAAAAAAAGGATACAAATGAAAAAATATGTAATTATTAACTCCAAGAAAAATAAAAATACACAAAATAAAATATAATCACAGTGTATTATCTGGCTCTATAGTAAACAATGTTTAGCTAGTCCTAATAATAGGAACACTGACTACTAATTTAACAAAAACTTGTAATATAACTGTATGGGAAAGATGGGGCATCTCTGAGATTAATAAAAAACCTAGAAATTTAGGCACATTACTTTAAAACATACAGATAACTACCAGAAGAAATAGCTAAAATATTTCAAAGTGACTGCCTGAGAAATGCTTGAAAGGTAGAACCCTTTAGTACTATTTAATCTTAAAATTCTGTGCATGTATTATATTGATCACACATTTTGAAAATAAAGACAATTTCCTTCAATTTTAAAATTAATAGCCTTCCATGTAAAGTAAAGATGGCAAGCTGAGCATATGCATTCACCTCTACTCTCTCCAGTAACTTCAGTAACACAGCAGTGAAAAGATTTACAAAAGCACAGAAATCTCCCATAGAAAGGAAAAAAAGATAAAGAAATAGAGAATAAGAAAAGATAAGAAGTTTAATGCAAGAGTCCCAGGAAGCAATTAGGATTCCAGAAAGAGAGAGACAATCACCAAAGAAGCTATTCAAACAATGTTCCTACTACAGAAGAACATGATTTTTTACTTTGAAAAGGTTGGCTATGCTCAACAAAACAGTCCAAATACACCCAAACCAAGGCACATCAACAGGAAATTTAAGAGAAATGGGGGAAAGAGATCTTCCAGCTTCCAGGGAGATAACAGTAAATTTGTACAATGAAATCAGCCATGAGAATGGCATCTGCTGTTCTCAACGGTAATGGGGAAAATTAACAGACAAGGAAGCAATGCCTTTCTCTGTTTCCTAAAAGAAACAGAATTCTATATCCAGTCAACAATCGATGTACAGAAAGAAAAAAGAAAAAAAAAAAAAGTGGCTCAGTGCTGGAGCATTGGCCTATGAACCAGAAGGTCGCGGTTTGATTCTCGGTCAGGGCATATGCCCGGGTTCCAGGCTCGGTCCCCAGTGTGGGGCATGCAGGAGGCAGACAACCATTGATACTCTCTTGTCACTGATGTTTCTATCTCTCTCTCTCCCTTCCTCTCTGAAATCAATAAAGAAAAAAAAAATTTTAAAGGCATTTTACAAGATGCAAAGGCTCCAAATATTTATTCTGATGCACTCTTCCTCAGTAATCTATTAGAAGATGTATTCATATAAAACAAGAGAATAAATAACAGGAAGACATGGAATCCAGAAAACAGGAAATCCAAAGGTTCTATTGATCAGATCATATTAAAACAGGTCTTGAGTTACTAGTTTTAAGAAGATCAAATCATTAGGAAGGCAGTAAGTTGATTTTTTTAAATGTTAAAATATTTCAAGCCTTTAGATTTACATGTATTTATACTTTTACATCAATTTGAGCATAATGGAGATGACAAGAGGTTTTAACTCTTACCTGTAACACAGCAGCAAATAAAAATACTACTACGAAGATTACAGTTAGCGAAGTGTGACCACTTTTCATCAGATGAATCGTGTAGAGGAAAATTAAATGTCCGGGAATTACTAAAAGCAGCAGAACTTGAGCAGACTTATGATTTACTCCTGTAATGTAAAATGTAAACGTTGTTAAAACAAAATCATATTTTGGTTAATAATAGGTCAGTTACTGAAATTTGAGGATTACTTTTTAGTTATGATACCACATCGCATCACATAAAATTCAACTGCTAAAAAGAAATGTATTGAAATTCGGGGATTACCTTTTAGTTACTGCATCACATAAAATTCAATTGCTAAAAATAAATTTCTTTGAAATTCTCCCTATGTTATAGGGAGCCCACCCTAAACTACCTAGCATTGTTTGCCCGTATCCATGAGGTTCCTCTTTCCGACTCATTCACAAGATATCCCAGAGAAAGGGACAAGAGAGAAAAATTGCACAGAGCTCCTCAACAACTGCAGAATTGATAGGAATGATTTCTGCTCACTGGGATTTAATGAACAAAATCTATTCTATTTAAGATCTATTTAGCACTCAGAAATAACAAAGTTGTGCAATACTCACAAAATACGTATTCAACAACTGTTGCCCGCCTATCCTCACAGAGGAGAAGTTCCTGAAATAAAACATGTAAAAATCCGCAAGCACATACCTGAACCAAAGAAAGTTCTAAATGGGTAGTAACAGCCTTTGCGTTCATCGGGCAGTTCTCCTGGAATGCTATGCAAGTGGAGGTACGTAGAAATCCTGCTCGCCTGAATGGCCACCAAATTACCACCAATCCCTGAAACACAGGAAAACAGATAGGGTGCCTCATATTTTACACAATTTGCATCAATTCAACCAACTGCAAGCCTCTTTATGTCACACCCTGGGCCGATGAAACAAAATAAAAAGTTCTTCTGAGACGCGGATTTATTTAAGTGGAGGTAGATATTCCAAAGGCATGAAAAGCATTGTTATGAAAAACATTATTTTTTTCAAATCTGACTTACTGTCTGGTCTGAAAGCAGACCAAAATAAGTTCTTTTTAAAAGTTACTATAAAATCCCAAGATATAAAACTAGGTAACAAGATGTACCATGTTTATCATCTGAATGAGAGAGAACGTATGCTAGATTTATTCAAAAGACAAGGCTAGACACTTTTCTTCTCAGGTTACTGAAAAAATTTGTATATGGCACTTTTTATAAACCTCAAGAAAGTCATCTTTTAATCTAGATTATCTTCTTATATACCCTGCACATTCTAAAGCTATATAAAAATTTCAATGTAGAGTAGACATTTTAGATATAAAAGTGGATTTTGGAGAACTTATCTTCAAATACAATGTTTTCTTATACATACGTATATAAAAGTAATTTATATTAGATGTGTCGTATATCCTGTGACATGTTTTCCCCAGGCAGAATTACTTTTTAAATTATATTCACTTGGGCTATACTCAAATCCAATTTAATGAGAGCCAGACCAAAACCTAGTAGGACTGGATTAAAATTATCTTATTAAACAGAATCCATAGAAAAATCCCTGTGAACTTAAGTACTGTAATTCCCATTTTATAGATAAGAAAAAACATAAGGCAGATTTTAAAGGGATCAGCAGGGGACTGATAGATTTTTTTCTTTTGCTTTTAATTTTTATTGAATTTAATGAGAGGGATGACAGATTTTCACGGACTCAAGTGACTCAAGCAACTGATTCAAACTGAGCTAACTCTGATTTATCCATGAAAATTGATAAGGAGCATCAGTAAAACAACACAAGATAGTAGATATAACCCAAATATCCAGAACTGAACTACCGCATGTTGCCTCACTACCCTTAAAAGCCAGGTATGCCTGACTCTCAAACTTATATCAGTAATAAGATTAAGAAACAGTTCTTTTCAAAAATGTGTTCTGCATGTTGAAAAAGGGGAAGGTCATTTTCACTCTGAGCAGCAACCTGGGGTTGGAGAGAGAATGAATGGGATGGGACAGACAGCCCTCTTCAATCTGAGCCCTAAGATTCCTATTAGCATTTAAGAGCATAGAAAGCCTTGATATCCTTATGAAATAGTATATCTAATCCTTACCATTAATAACTGGTGTGTAAACAACAATTCCAACCAAGTTTGGATCAGATACAGTTGTGTCCAGAATAAGGCCTCCAATGCTGAAAGATACAAAATCATATAAGTTAGGGAAGAGGAAAGGAAATGTACTAATTTGAAGCTGTTCTTTACATACAAACACCTCTACTTTTAAAAATAAAATAATTAGGCTGAGCCTGGCTGGTGTCGCTCAGTGGTTGAGTGTCAACCCAGGAAGCAAGAGGTCACAGGTCTGATTCCCGGTCAGGGCACATGCCCAGGTTGCGGGCTTTATCCCCAATAGGGGACATGCAGAAGGCAGCCGATTGATGAAGTTTCTCTCTCACCGATGTTTCTATCTCTCTATTCCTCTCTCTTCCTCTCTCTCTCTAAATATCAATAAGAACGTATTTTTTAAAAGAAGAGATTGTTTTTAAAAATAAAATAATTAGACATTAAAAAATAGATAAAATATATTCAAGGTAAAAATCAATGTCAATCACAAATGTTGAAAATAAAACATGATATAAGCTGTAGCCCCCACATTTCAGGGCTCTCTTTCTGATCGCCAAGATAAGTTACTTGTAAAAAGGAAAGTATATACTGTAAGTGCATATACAATGAACACTTGAAGAAAAACATTTAAAAATATTTTTGTTGCCCAGATAATAAAACTTGTTATAGAAAATATAAATAAAAAGAAAATAAAAATCAACCATAGTTACATCACTCAGAGTTACACTGTTAGCATGTTAGTAAATACCCTCCCCAGACATTTTAAAATGTGTATATGTTTAAAAATAAAAACCCAAATTGTAAAAGTATTTTCCTTCACTTTTATTAAATTTTATTTCTAGCATGCCCTAGCCGGTTTGGCTCAGTGGACAGAGTGTCAGTCTGTGGACTGAAGGGTCCTGGGTTCAATTCCTGTCAAGGGCACATGCCCAGGTTGCAGGTTCCTCTCTGGCCCGGGCCCTGGTCAGGAGCATGCAAGAGGCAACCAATTGATGTGTGTCTCTCACATCGATGTTTCTCTGTCTTTCCCTCTCCCTTTCCGTCTCCCTAAAAATCAATGGAAAAATATCCTCTGGTGAAGATAAAAAAAAAAATTATTTCTAGCAAACAAACACATGAGCATTATTTAAAAAGTGAAAGTACCACAAAGTTTATAAAATAGTCCCTGGTCCCACCCCCCAGATCCTGCCTTCCACTACCAATTCTTTTCAACTTTGTTAGCTGTTTCTTCTGGCATTTAATTCTGTATTTCTAAATAACACATTTTCCCTACTATTTCTTAACTTATAATTTTAAACATTTCCCTAAAAGCATCCACTGTGGCAGATGGAGGATTTAATCTCACTCTTCCCTCCTCACTTTAGTCCCTCACAATTCTCTTCCTCTCTCTATCCTGACAGTCTGGTTATCATTTTTGGTGAAACATTTAGAGTTTATTTTATTATAACAATGGGATCATAATTCACAACTGAAATACACAGCATCTTGTTAGATTTCCTCACTTGTACTGTTTGCTTTGTCTCATATTTTTCTTAAATTTTTTAGCTATTTATTACTAATTCAGCCTCAAATTTGTAGCGAAGTTAATGAAATGCCCCTGATTACAGTCAAGCTCATCCGGCAGGTAATCAATCGATTCCACTTTCTTTCTTCTTAGGGACATTCCTCCTGAAGCCCACTGTTCTCCCGATAGCCTGGGCAGTTGCTCTGTAGGCCTGGTGCATGGCTGGCATCCCTACCTACCCTTCAATCGCCCCATGAGGAGGCTTAGTCTATGACTGTGACCAACTCCCAGCATGTCACAGGATCCTGTTGCCTGAATCCTCCCGGAAAAAAACAACCTACATTACAGAAAAACGAACCACATGCTATCCTCATTTCTATGTCATCTTATTTCTTAGTTCCTCATTTTGATAAAATTGTCTTTTGTCAACGTTTATATGAAAGGGCCTATGGGAAACCAATATACTGAAATCCTGTGTGTCTGAAAACTTCGTGAGTCTGTCCTTACGTTTGGTTGATACTGAGACCGTATGTTATGTTCAAAACATTATCCCTCAGAATTTTGGAGGAATCGCTTCTGGTGTTGCTAGTGGGCATCATTCTGATTCCCAATCCTTTGGATGCAACTCGTTTTCATTCCGGAAGCTTTGGGGATTTTATGATGACGTGCTTTGATGCGGGTTCTTCCTACTCCAACTCATGGTGCTGGACCCGTAGTGGCCCCTTTCAATAGGCCCCTTTCAATCAATAGTGGCCCCTTTCAATAGGCCCCTTTCAGTCAATAGTGGCCCCTTTCACTCAGGAAGCCCATGTTCTTCCGTTCTGGGGAATTTCCTTATGTTATTTCTGTGATAATTTCCTCTCCTTATTGTTTGCCTCCAATTGTCTACCTCTCTGTTCTCTGTTCTACTTTCCAGGATGGTTCTACCTTCTAACTATTATACTGACTTTGTTTCTGCTGTTTGTTTATTTCTGAATTCCAAGAGCTCTTCCTGTTTTTTTTGTTTTGTTTTCAATCCTCCTCTGAAATCATTCTGCTCTTACAGAATTGTGGATGCCACCGCTTCCCTTATTTCTCTGAGGACAGCGGAGATAGTTTTTTGAGGCTTTTCAGCTCTCTCCCAGTGGTTCTCAACCTTCCTCATGCCGCGACCCTTTAATACAGTTCCTCATGTGGTGGTGACCCCCAACCATACAATTATTTTCGTTGCTACTTCATAACTGTAATTTTGCTACTGTTATGAATCGTAATGTAAATATCTGATATGCTATATGTGATTTCCGATGGTCGCGACCCACAGGTTGAGAACCGCTGCTAGACTTCCTTTGAGTACCATTTTTTTGTCTCCGTCTTTCATGTCAGAAGTCTTAATCAAATGTCTGATGAAGGGCTACCCCTCCTTAGAGGGCACAAGGGAAAGCACACTTGGAGCTCTGTGGGCCTGGGCAGAGCTGGTCAGCAGGTGGGCCTCACTGAACAATGGTCAGGTGGGCATGCAGCTCCTTCACTAAAAGACCTGCAAGGGTCAACACATGCAGGTTTTCTGTTGAGCTGAAGACCTCCCCCAGAAAGACAGGATCTGATTTCTTGCCTGGAGCTGTAAGCGGGACGGCCAGCTGGTGCTTCTGAATCTGGAGCCTCTCCATTTAGTCTCTCCAAAGTGAATTCCTGTCTTCTGCTAAGGTGGGAGGGGCAGCTGCCTGGGTGGTCAGACTAGAGAAGGGCTGTTAGGACCTAACTGCTTCTTACACACACTGCCCACCAAACTTCCTTTCAGCTTTCGGAAGTACTCAGGGCCCTAATGCCTCCACCTGTCTGGGTTCCTGAGGCTCAGATCTGGGCGCTGCTTCTGGGTGCTCCCCCTGCTGGCGGCTGGGTTTTAGCTTTTTTCCTTCTGTTAACAACTATCCACCTGATTCCTATCTTACGAATTTCTCACTTGCTGTCCTCTGTTCTCCTTCTCTTTGTAGTTTTTTAGCTTTTTATCTTTTTATTGTCATTTTGGTAGTTTTAGGAAGGAAGATAAGCACATCAATCTACCATGTTTAACAGGAAATTGATACTCATTTCTAGCTGACTCTTTTCACCAAGGGTATAATGAATACCTTTCCTCGTCAAAGACTTATAACAATGCTATTTTTAATGGCTGACTGATACTCCTTTTTGTGACTGCATCACACTTCATTTGATCAATATCTGACTGCTAGGCCTCTAAGGTATTCTCTCTTTCTTTCGTTAAAAATTCCACGGTGATTAGGGTCCCTGGAACTAAATCTGTTGCATATATCCTTAATTATATTCTTAAGTCCTGTCAGAGGCCTAGAGGTGGAAATAGTTGAATGGCATACACATTCCTAAGGCTTTCTGATACCTATCTGAGCAATTTACTATGAAAAACAAGTAATGTTCTTGTCAGGTTACAACACACACACAAAAAAAAACACACCCACACTACAAACACACACATACAAAGACAAACACCACTAAATTTCACTCAGCAATCTGGTAAAGATTTGGTTGGAGAGAAGTTTACAACTGGTAGCCAAATGAGGTTCTCTATATCTACTGATTTCTGTAATTTCTATCACATATATCCATTATCACTTTGGATAATAAAGAATTGACCCAATATACATAATATAATTGACCCAAGAAATAAAACAGGCAATCGATTTGTTTTAATGTACACATAGATACAGGCACATAGATTGCGCGCGCGCACACACACACACACACACACACACACATTTAATACTAACCTACTTATAACCATAGCGGTTATGACAGGCTCCCAGCCCGAGTGGAGCACTGTCCTGGTGGCTGGATGTTTGGCTGCTACTATAATCCAGATAGGAGTTAGAGCCAAGAAAAAGACACCAACCAACGGAGAAATGTAGTAATAATTCTCTAAAATTGAAAAAGAGACAGCATTTCAGTATCTGTTCTAACCATGTAGCGAATATTAAAAATTTACCAGAAGGTATGATATGAAACGTATTCACAGGCTATTTATTTTCTACAAATTTCAAACAACTTTAAAACTGTAGGTAAGGTGCCCAGCCCAAATGGCTCAGTGATCAAGCATCCACCTATGAACTAGGAGGTCACGGTTCGATTCCCGGTCAGGGTACATGCCTGAGTAGCAGGCTCAATCCCCAGTGTGGGGCGCACAAGAGGCAGCTGATCAATGATTCTCTCTCATCATTGATATTTTTCTCTTTCTCTCCCTCTACATTCTTTTCTCTGAAATCAATAAAAATATATTTAAAATAAATAAAACTGTAGATAAGATAAAAATATTAATGTAACTGAAAACTAATACATTAATTCAGCAAACATTTATTGAAATACCTATGTGACCTAGCAATAATAGGATGGGAACAGCAATAATAATAATAGGATGGGAACAGCAATAATAATAATAAAATAATAATTAAAACAACAAGAGTAAAAAAGCCAACATTTATTTGGCTCCTACTATTAACCAAGCATTGTGGGAAATGCTTTATATTCATTGACTCGTTTAATTGCCCTCACAAGTATGAGGAGAACACTGTCATTCTTTTTTTTCTATTAAATTTATTGGGGTGACATTGGTCAACATACACATACAGGTTTCAGGTGTGGGTTTCTATGTTATAAGATATGTATGTCATTTTTATTTAATAACAAACTGAGGCTTAAGAGTTTATAGGATAGAAAACTGGAAAAGAGGAAGCTATCAGAGAAAGAGCTTGAGAACTGACTATCAAGCCTTAGTGTGAACTCCACAAGGCTAGGCCAAGAATAACTGGGGATTTGTCACTCAAGACCTACCCCCCTTTAGAGGAGAGGCCTCTTTGAACACCGAGAACATTCACTAGACCCAAGAAGGGTAGCAAAGCTAGCCCTAGTGCCGGGAGCCGGTCCATGCTTGCTGTTTCAAGGGACCTGGCATATATGCACTATGTGTTTTAACCAAGGTCTCTGAGAAAGGTTGTTTCCCCAGGTAGGGATTTTCCATACTGAGTCTAAAGAAATAAGACTCTGTATTGATCTTTTACTCCGTCCACACCTTTGGGGACCCCTGGACCCGCTGGGGTTGGACCCCAGCATCTGGCGCCCGAACAGGGACCCCTAGGTAAGCGCCCCGCACTCGGGACAGATAGGACTCCACCGTAGAAAGAGGGTGGATAGTCTTTGCCCCACAATCGGGACGGATCGGACTCCACCATAGGAAGAAGGTGGATAGTCTTCGCCAACTTCGTCCACACCTTTGGGAAGCCCTGGAACAGGATTCCCCTAGGTAAGCCCCCCCCTTCATTGAGAACTCCCACACTCGGGACGGATAGGACTCCACCAGGGTACTGCAGACCCCCCTACAGAGGATAAGTAGGGTAAGAAGGTGGATAGTACAGAACTTAGGTTGAGAAGATGTGCCATACTGAGTCCAAAGAAAGAAGACTCTGTATTGCCCCTGAAGTTAGGGAGGGAATAAAACCTCTTAACTAGTGCCAGGTGGGTAATTCAAGAGAACCTGACTAGAACCTGGTGACTGAACCCGGCTGGAGAACCTGGGCAGAACCTGGCTGGAGAACCTAGCGAGGGAACATGGCTACAGAACCTGGCTGGAGAACCTAGCGAGGGAACATGGCTACAGAACCTGGCTGGAGAACCTGGAGAGCCTAGCAAGAGAACATGGACACAGACCCTGGCAGGAGATCCTAAGCAGATCTTCACTGGAGATCCTGACCAGAACCTGGCTAGAGATCCTGGCTAGGCTGCTGATCAACTGAACGCTGTCTCCGTGTCATTCCTTCTTCGCCGACTCCGTCCACACCTTTGGGGACCCCTGGACCTGCTGGGGTTGGACCCTGGCACCCTAGTGTCAGGTGTGCTGTAGCTTCTCCCCAGTCAAACTCAGAACCAAGCCTTGTGAGGCTCAAGCTAATCCACAAACAACAGCCCACAAGAACAAAGTCCAATACTTTGCAAAGAAAAAAATCGAGCATGTAACAATATTACATTCACAATGTCAAGCATCCAACCAAAGATTGCTTTTAAGAGTTTGGGATAATATTTGGTAGCATTTACAAGCTTCATTAAATACACTGAGACATCCTACTTCCGTTAGACATGTCACCAGTCTCATAAAAGTATCCAAGTACTTATATTAATCTTTATAAAGCTAATAAATTAAATGTACAAATAGTGAGTCTTAAATTTTCATAAATACTCATATATATATATATATATATATATATATATATATATATATATACACACACACACACACACACACACAAATTTGGTAAGATTTTGATATAAAAACCACAAAAATAGGTCAATTACTTAATTATGAATTTAAAAATGGAATTAGAAGACTGACATGTTACTCCAAAGGGCTAAGTTAACAAGTGCACACACACAAAAATATGTACTGCTTCATTAGCATAAAACCATTAAACACATGAGTCGAATTCTCAAATATTTTTATATTTAAATCTCCCTAAGTTTAGAAAATTGCCTGTCTCTTCTTGAAACAGTTACATCATTCCAGGACATTTTGGTTATATCATTTTAACTGATGGAGGTTTTATTATTATCAGAGATTATTATCAGCCAGGGCATTCTGGATTCTTCTCAGTGACTCTAATACTTACTTTGTATAGGAGAGACTTTATAACTTAAAGACAATTGATCTCATAGTCCTTGTAGCCTTAGATTTAAGTTAAATGTTACTAAATTTTCCTGACATGTCACAAAATTCTTCAACCCTATTCATATTATCTTTCACTGAATTTTGTATTTCTTCATCTTCCTAACATATTTACAGAACTTCTCACCTATGCCTAAAGATATTCAAACCCTTTTCTATCAGGAAAGAACACCTTACTATAGATATTAAAATAATATCCAAACAACTTTATTCTTGTGGCTTTATCTGATCTTCCATCACATCTTCAAAATAATTATACTCACAAAATTCATTGAAAGATTTTCTTCCATTTAAGGGACTTTGACTAACCCTACATATAGTTTCATTTTTTTCTCTATGATTTTTAAAAAATGAAAAAAACCTGTATTGAATGGATTCCCAGTTCTCCTTTTTAAACCACTGGATAAGGATTTAAAAAATCCTAATTAGGAAGCATTCTTATCTCCTAAAACAAGCAAGGTTGCCAACAATCTCTTTATAGGGTTAAACAGAAATGAAAAGCATTAAAATCCATTAAACACAATTGAAAAGAACTATTTTGCTAGGTCAGATCATCTTAGTATTTCATTTTCAGGTCAACAGAGGAGCACCATGCCAGGCTTTTAAGTTATTCTCAACATTAAATCTCCGGAAGGTCATCTGAAGTGGAAAAAAAACAACACCCATCCCAACCCCTGAATCACTGCCCTGAATTTTCAAAGAGAAGAAAAAATTTCTCAGAATGAAACTAAAAATAATGAGTGCAGTTCCTCAAAAACTTAACCAGAGTTATCATATGACCTTCTGTCATATGTGTCAAGAGAACTGAAAATATATGGTCGTGCAAAAGTGTACAAGAATGTTCATAGCAGCACATTCATAAGAGCCAAAAAGTAGAAGCAGTTCAAATGGCCATCACATGATGAATGGATGATAAGCAAAATGTGCTATATTCATACAATGGAATGATGTGAATCCATACAATGGGATATCACTCAGAACTGATTCATGCTACAAAGAGATGAACCTTAAAAACATTCTACTTTGAAAAAACAGCCAGACATTAAAGGTCACATATTGTATGGTTCCATTTATTGAAATGTCTAAAATAGGCAAATCCACAGAGACAGAAAGTAGATGCTGGTGCCAGGGAATGGGGGAAGGATACAATGGGAGTGACTGCTAAAGGTTTTTTTTTGCAGTGATAAAAATGTCCTGGAATTAGACAATAGGCTGCACAGTCTGATGAATGTACAAAACCACCAAATTGTACACTTTTAAAAGGTGAACTGTATGGTATCTGAATTATTATCACATTTTAAAAAAAATTCCAACAATAGCCCTGGCCAGTGTGACTCAGTTGGTTGAGTATCATCTCATGCACCAAAAGGTTGCTGGTTCAATTCCCAGTCAGGGCACATGCCTGCGTTGTGGGCTGGATCCCAGGGAGAGGGTATGCAGGGGGCAGTTGATCAATGTTTTTGCTCTCACATCAGTGTTTCTCTCTTCTCCTCCCTTCCTCTCTCTCTCTAAAAATCAATTTAAAATAAAAAAATAAATTGCCACCTATTTTTTTTAATTCCAACAATTATTTTTTTTTAAATATGTTTTATTGATTTTTTACAGAGAGAAAGGGAGAGAGATAGAGAGTTAGAAACATTGATGAGAGAGAAACATCGATCAGCTGCCTCCTGCACATCTCCTACTGGGGATGTGCCCACAACCCAGGCACATGCCCTTGACCGGAATCGAACCTGGGACCCTTCAGTCCCCAGGCCGACGCTCTATCCACTGAGCCAAACCGGTTTCGGCCCAACAATTATTTTTTAAAAAGGAGGGGAGACTATATTTTTCAAAATTGCCAATGTCATAAAAGATAAATGTACAGTATATACATTTGTACATATGTAACATTGAGAAAAAGAAAGAAAAAAAGAGAAAGCAAATGGGGTAATAACGTTAAAATTAGTTGAGTCAGGATTCAGAATATACAGGTGCTTTTTTGTACTCTTTATTTTTGCAACTATTTTATACATTTGAAATTATCTCCAAATAAAAATTTTTTAAACACTAAAAAAAAAAAAAGAGTGGGAAAACCATGATAAAATAAAAATAATTGATTTACTGTAAATGTGTTCTATTTCAATTTCCTAACAAATCTAACACACCCATTCCCATCAAATTAGATCATATGTATAATTGCATAGGATTCTCCTTCCTTTTCCTTGGG